GCTCATTGATATTTATTTTTATAGTATTGCGCATCGTTCGGGAAGTATTGTTGAAAATACGTACCTGATTTGATTAGCTATGTAGGTAAGAATCTGATTGGATACCCGATACCCTGGACCTCGCCCTGGGCTGATATTAAAATAAACGAATGTGTTAGTTGGGCATACGGGACCAATACGATATTCCCAACTACGAGAAGAGGAAAAAACATTTACGCACATTATCTTTACTTTCAAAGAATTACCTCGAGAATTACTCTACGTCAAAGAAACTGTACCTATGCAACAGTTTTTCGAAGAGTTGATGAATGAATGAATGAATGTAATTAGGAAACATAGATTAGCGAACAGATTAAAATATTCAATGCATTAAATACAAAGCAATGAAAATTTCTTATTCATCCAAGTTGCATCTGACATGAATGAAACTGCAAACTATGGCAAAACTACTCGGATATTGGAACAACTTATTTTATTGTTTCTCCTTGCCGCTGGACACATTTGTCTACTCGATAAAATCAATAGTTAACACAGATATTATTTCTCTTGAGTCACTTTCCATTCGGGGGTTGACCGCGTAATTTTTATTTGAGGAAACAAACGTCCAGAATTTTCAAGATGGTAGTACTACCTCATTTTAATGTTATGTGCAAAAAATCCGATTCCCAACAAAAGGAAGGTATATCTTTACGGCGATAAGTCGGGGCGCTAGGACGATCAGGTGACGGCCATTCAAGCGCAGGCAATAGGGCGCGAAGACAAAAGGACGCGAAGACAAGATGGCGCGTACGATTTAGGCGTAGGAGCGATTGTGGACGCGCGCCAAGGGTGTGGAACACAAACAAAGTTTCATAGAAGAAATTGATTTTTGACAACGATAGAGCCCTATTTGTAGCACATCGTATTTCCCAAGCGAAATGTTGTACGGACATTTAACGGCCAATAATGTAAAATTAAACATTATGAAAGTTCTTGTGTGAGATTGAAGGGATTTTTTTCGGCAAATCAGTATTCTATTAGCCAGTTTTCACTTCACCATCAGTATGATCTTGTTGGGGGCTACCACATTCCCTTTGTCGGTACCCACTTCCAACGTCCCCTTCACTCGCAATTCGCATTTTGGTAGATTTCGCTAAACACCCTCCACAAAATTGTACTAAATTTTTTGGAGCACTTCTCATAGCTCGAGCTTCTATTGAGGAGAAAGAGAAACCACGATTCGAGTTTTAAGAAACTTTGGGCTCCCCGAAGACGCGCGTCTTGCAAAAGGTGGTTAATTTCGTCGTTAGGGGAACAAAAGCAAAATCGCAGAATCGCAATCACAATGTGCGTCTCGCCGGCCTTTGTAGGTACAACTGACCCTAAGCATTGAATAAAAAATTGAGTAAGGGTTTGATTATATCACTTTTGCGAAAGTTTTTGGCGCAACGTACGTATTTCTTTTTAAGCAAGAGGAAAATGTATTAATATGCACGGGGAAAGTAATTAATTCGGAGATAATTTCATAATCACCCGTCAATGTGATAAATTTAGGGTGCGTTCCTTTTTAAAATTTTAGACGAAGAAAAAAGACAGGCATTTATGAAACTAAAAAGATATTGAATTAAAAAAAAACTCGTTCTGGGGGCTGTGCAAGAAATTCTCCTTCCCTCAATTATTCAAATAGACTTGTTATTATGAATAATCGCCGCATTAACTACACTGAGCGTAGTAAATTATGTATTATAATGAACTGAACTGAAATTTTTCAGTTAGAGTTACTTTAGCTGTAATTTTGTTTGGCAAGCTTTTATTGGAATGCACCGTTTCCCTATAAGCTAACGGAAATTACGTAGTTGCTTTTGAAAACTCTAACATCTCATTTTAGAGGAAATGATCTGCGTACCTTATTAAAGTTTATTCAAGCGCAGTAATAATAAATTTAGTTTGTAAAATTCATAAGTCGAACCTCCTTTTAGATTTTTGGAAATAGTTGGTAGCACTAACGAGTTTTATTTCTTAAATAATTTTGCATAGGTAATTTTATTGCCTTTCTCAACAAATTGCCAATAGAGCTTCCGCAAAAGTCAATGACAATAGTATAAGTGACTCAAATTCATTAAAGGTTCAAGTAACCGGAAACAAATATGCAAAGTCTGCAAGCATGGTTCGTTACTGGTTGGGTACTTCAGAGTTTACCTACGAGCTAAAGAATGAAACATATATTTACATGTATACTGTAAGTTGCGAATTTAGAATTTGAAATCTTTATTGTTATATCTAACTTTTGTGGTAGAAGGGGTGGTAACCATACACGTCTTTAGGGATTCCTTTTTGGTGATATAGAATGAAAAACTTACATTAGAGACGGTTATGGAGGAAAGTTCCAGTTCGCACAAAACTCAATTTTTTATCGAAGTTAAAGGAAATATGTTGCAGGAGCTGATTTTTGTGTTCTGTTTTTTTTAAGATTTAGTTAGAACATATTTTAAAGCGCCGATAGTACTGCTTGTTTTCAGCACAAGAACAATTCACATGTTATTGAAAAGAATATTGTGAACACGTATCCAAAAAGCTCTAATTGGAGAATATTGGATCCGCGATCCACAATACGTTGCTCTAGGAACACTAGTGGGACAGAGGTATTTATTCCGTACCTACGTGTCAACCCTAATTGTGTTGTGTTTTATCGTTATTATGAATAAAGTTTTTAATTCGTTTTGCATTTTATTCAAGCTACTGTTACAGCAAACGTTATGGGTCCAGAAGGCGTGTATGTGATCCAAGATTGGTAAAATTGGAAACCGCAGAATTAGTTAAGAAAACGACAGATCTCAGTTGTACCATTGAGTGGTTCACTCAACGGTTGTACTATAAAAAACACAACGGTTGAAAATAATTGTGAGGTCAAGAGGATCGTGCGGCGAACTCTTTTCAAGTCACATTACCGGCCGCACCGTCACTTTACCGTCCGCATCTGTGACATTGCTATAAACGGCTAATGACTGCTGACAGATTGACATTAATCAACTTACAGTTCTATACTAAAATTGAAATTTCATAATAAAATGCGATTTCGAGTAAAATTTAATACAAAACTTGTCAGTAAAATGACATTACTTGACTCGGAAATTAAAGTACTCGGCCGCAAGGGGCCTCGCACATCAATGTTTCCTCGCCAGTAATTGTCATTTTCCGTACTTTTATGTAAATAATTATTTTTGCCGTAACTTTAATCGTCTCATTTGTATTATTCCATACCCATAGAAAAAAAACGTTTCCCGATCTGAAACATGTCGGTTTTATATCCATTTTTTAAGCAATATGGGCGATCATACGAATATAATAAAATAAAATGGAAATTATATTATTTATTTTATAGCATAGGTTAAATTGACAGTTTTATAGGTTTGAATGAGTAGGCCAAGCCACTATTTAATCGTAAGGGTAGATAAAATGGTTACCTTATCCGCAAGAGTAGATAAAGTGGAATAGATGATTGTGCATTCCAATGACATATGTCATTCTGGGACGCAGAGCGCGATATAAAATGACGTTCACATATGACAATGCTGTGTCTATGGAACAGACAGCGACGGCACAACCTAAGCTTGCTATTTTTGACGTCTAAATTAAATTCAGAATTGCCCGAAGCTTTACAATGATTTATATGGCGTCTGCTATAAAATAAAGTTTTGTAGCGATGGCAAGGTAGCTATGAGATGGGTTGCTAGGGAGACGAATAATAACAACGATAGAGGTAGTAGATTTGCTGTGATATAATTTGATATCCAATTAATAAAAAAATGTTAAATAACTATATTTCCTAAAGTTTTGTATTACACACGACGATACAGGGAAACTAATCATCTCGCGAAAGTTAAATTCACTCGTAATGGTTAAAATATCTTTATATCGTCTTATATAATAAATTTCTCTTAGCAAATCGTGTGCTCATTACAGGCTTGTTTTTTACAGAACATTTTAAAATAAAACAATTTTTTACAAGCATTTCAAATTAATGTCACTATTTTATTTTTAATTTTGTATCTGTAATTTTATGGTCCAAATGTGCCTTTTTAGGCTAATATGTTACAATGAATGAAAGTATGATATAAGTGTCAGTACATTGCCGCATCCGCCACCCCCTGGAAGAGGAGGGTGAGCCACCCCTAAAAGTGCATTTTTTGAGTTTTTGGCATTTTACTGGAAATCTACACTCTTCATCAAAAAAGGAGTGGTTACCATTTTTGTAGAGCATACAATTCTCTATCGTAGGTGTATTAACTTTTGTTCTATTGCCACTCCAACCACTAAAACTTTACTTTAAAGATTATTAACATTTTGCATTTGACCAAAAATGCCGAGAAAAATGCTTTTGAGGATGATTTGCTTTCATTAAAATACTCACTAACATACTCAAAAGCCTAAAGAAAACTCTATTGCAATAATTGTTGACTAATAAATATCCAAAACAGTACTCCCCCTCCCTCCATAAACTGTATCATTACCGTAGCCATCTACATCAGAATCTTTAGTTACACCGCTTTGTTATGACTTAAATCAAGGTATTTGAAACAGACGTCCATTTACCCAAACCGAAATTTTAGGGGAGAGGATGATGAACTCTTAAAACCTCTTTTTTTATTTTTAGCGTTTCAGAGGGAAACTACGCCTTTTAGCAAAAACGGCGATGTTACCTTTTTCGTAGAGCAGACAATTCGATATCAATTGAGGGTACTATCTTTTGATTTATACATACTGTAACAGCTTAAACATAGCCGTAAGGTCGGTTACTCAGCTTAAATTTGATATCTACAGGGTGTTTACGGTCTTCTATTTATCCTTTTAAGGGGGGGTAGTACAGCTCAAAAGGAGTCGAAAAAACCCAAAACACCTTAGTAAAAGTTTTTTAATAAGCGAGATAATAAATGTTTTATGTTTTATTATTAAACGATTAAACTGTGTGCACATCTAGCAATCTGCTACTTATTTAGCATTGTCTATTCTTCATTCTTCAATTATTTTTTAGACAAAAGTTGTTCGAAGTTATCACCTTCTTGTTGTATGCAAAGTCTGGCTCGGCGTACCCAGGACCCCACATACTCTGCAAGGCCCAAACCTTGTTGACGAATTTCCGCCGCTGCTGCTTGCACCCGGTTGCTGAGATCCTCGAGGTTGACAATTTCGGTGTTGTATACCATGGCCTTCATAAGACCCCACAAATAAAAGTCCAATGGTATTAGGTCCGGTGATCGTGGTGGCCAAGGGACAGGACCACCTCGACTTATCACTTTATTTTCAAAGATGTTGTTTAAATGTTGACGAACTGAATGACTGAAATGTGCTGGGGCACCGTCGTGCAGAAACCACATGTTGCGACGGACATTTAAGGGAGGGAACATCTTCTAAAAGTTCAGGCAAATTGTTTTCCAAAAAATGTAAATAAGCAATTCCAGTTAATCGATCTGGCAATACAAATGGGCCAATAAGTTGCCCGTTTACTAATCCGGCCCATACGTTCAAAGAAAATCTCTGCTGGATATGACCACGACGAACCGCATTTTTTCACTTTTCAGAGAATAGGTTAATAATTGTTATCAACTTATACCTGTCAAACAAACTTAAAAACAATTGGACAATGTTGATTAAGTAGTAGATTGCTAGATGTGCACACAGTTTAATCGTTTAATAATAAAAAATAAAACATTTATTATCTCGCTTATTAAAAAACTTTTACTAAGGTGTTTTGGGTTTTTTCGACTCCTTTTGAGCTGTACTACCCCCCCTTAAAAGGATAAATAGAAGACCGTAAACACCCTGTATAATTTTCAGATGAAGTATGTTGACAGTACACTATCAAATTAACTAAAAGTGAGAGTGACCATTCAGCAGCTGCTCAGCCGCGCTGCTAAGTTGACCAGTGTGAAGGGGCACTTACGAGTAGGTATTTACATTGAATTTTATAAGTATAAGCATATGCTCCCTTTTATTCATATGCGCCATTCTCGGCGCCATTGTTTCGATCAATTTTCGAATGATTTATAGAACTTTGTTCATATCACAATAAACGGATTTTACCAGATAGAAGTTTCTTGTTATCCTTGGGCTATTCCAGTGCACTGGCGGAGAATGAATTCAGCTCGTTTTGTATTACCTTCTGTTACTAGAAATTCGCATTCTAGTGTGAAAATTAGAACCTCTGTTTTACTATGATTTTCTACCTGTCTTTCGGGTAACAAGGGAATTGTGTTTTTAGACTACGAAAAGAACGCTATGTGACTAAACCGTAGATACGATTTCGCTATTTCCGTTTAAATCGACAGTCAACAACCCTTGTTTTTTAAAAGCAGGCCTTTTATCTCGCCTTTTATTTTTGTTAAATTCAAGTATGGTTAGGTATCTATATTAATCCTGTAATATATGCCCTCAGAAAGGGGAGCAAGAAAAATTAGGGCTCTATTTTTTTGTATATAAATCGCTGATATCAACGTTGAAATGCTACTGCTTCGAAATTTGAAACTTCATCGCAATTAAGAGAATATCATTGTATTTCGAAATGGCAGAAGTAAAATTTTAATGTTGGAAATGCGTTTCATCATTTACGTATTAAAGTTTTCTAAAGCTTATACAAAATATTAAATTACTTTTTACGACATTCGATATTGCCGAATGAATAGAAACGATGAGAAAATCTGATCTTCAGAAAGCTGTACTTGACGAACTTTTATATACATTTTGTAGCGAATGAGATCATAAAAATGAATTGTAAAGGCTCGTGCTTGAATAAGTCATGATGGATTGAAAATAAATCTAAATGCAATACTAACAGCACACTGCTTTTGAAGGTGTTACAATGACATATAAAATGCCTAAAGTTTAAAATAACATTTTTACTCTGAACTTTTTACTTACACATTTGTGAGTTATAGAAACTCGAAACCAGATTGTAACAATCCGCATTCAATTATAGCTACTAGTACATATCCATTTCAAAGTGGAAATTAAAAGCCTCCTCTTTTAAGAGCACTTTAACTTCACGGAAGCTTCATTTGGAAAGGTAATGTTGGTATCAACATCTTTAAATAATGGAATTACCCACACACTTTCTCTAAACTTTAACTTACTCTGCGTTGCGCTCTCCATAGGCACCGATTTCAGTGTATCAAGTTAGACGACTAAGTTCAATATGTCGTTTCGTTTACTCTTTATGATGGAAGACATTGTCAAGATTTTAATTTTAAAGTTTACATTTAGTGGGAGTACTCGCATTTTGAGTGAGTAAAGAGAGCGAATAAAATAAGTTTTGTCAATATCTAATATAACTAGATTTTCTCCCGTGACTTCTGATATTGACCGATATATGATAGCAGAAACTCAACGTACAGAATCAAAAAGTCCAGTACCAATCCTTAATAACGGGCAGTATAAAGCTGTTGTATTCACTGATAAATTGAGTTACACTAACCATTATTGATTCCTCCATTATCAATCGAAATTTTGGTGTTTATAAGTTGCTCGGATCTGGAGGAAATGGTAATTAAATTTAGATCGGTTCCTTCTTTATAATATTGAAATCTCGATTGCAATTAAGTTTTGATGGAAGGGGTTTCTAAAAATGCTTTACTAAAATTTAAATTGGCTTGCAGCGCCTTAAGATGAATATAAATAAATAGAATTATAAAGGAGATTTGGCAATCTGAATATCTTGGAGGCTAGATTTTTTGTAGGTTACTTGCACGTTTTCAGCTCCGGTATTTCAGATAATCATTTGCGTAGCAGTTCGTCGATATTATAAGACTAATTTCAATTTATTTCAAACTTACGTATCCCATTAATAAATGGGTCTCGGATTGCGATATAGATAAAAGAAAGATTGGCAATTAAATTAAAATGGCATTACCTAAAAAGAAACGTGGTTAACATCATTCGAAAAGTAGGTACCTTTAATTCAATGATAACGGCTAAAATGATATCCCCAGGCCCCATCTGAACCAACTTAAGGTGGGTTCATAGCTCTCCGTTCATCCGTTGCGTTGGTCTGTCAAACGGATAATGCATTTTATTAAGGTTCATAGCAATCCGTCCACATTGTACATTTGCAACGTATAACCATAACCTACATTTTATTTTGTACTGTACCCTCCGTGATTTTCAGTGTGTAAAAATGGTACGAAAGTAAGAGCACATTGCTATCTGATTATTACCGTGAAGAACGAATAGGCGAACACTGTTAACGTACCAAACATAACATCACTCTTGTTAAAAACGGAACAACGGAAACGTAAATGTTCAACTTCAACCAACTTTTCCGTCGTAAACGGACGACGTACGATTTAAAAATTTGCTGTCTTCTGATTGGCTAACGGACAAACGGAAACGTAAGAACGGAGAGCTATGAACCCACCTTTACACTCACGTAACGCATTAAAAGCGTATTCAGTCGGTCAGCTAAACTAAGGGCACATTCAACGCAACGTTACAACACAGTTTAAAAGTGATTTATAAAAGAGTTTCTGAAACAGGAATTGATTAATTTCTTTAATTATATTCGAGAGAAATTATGTAGGGTAATTCCTATTATTAAAGTATACTGTGGGTATTACGTATTACCCAAGCCAGGTCGCATATTGGAGGCAGTATGTGAAAATCTTTCAAAATATTTAGTGTCATTGCTGTGAGTTAAAGTCATTGCACTCACTGCTGTCTTGATATTGGTACGAACTATTTTCTAGAGAATTATTTTTGAGGTAATTTTTATTGCACTGAAAACTTTCGTTAGAATGTACTTAATGAATTCCTGCCCTCTATACTATTGTGTAAACAACGTAATTTACACGTTATTTCAGCCTAAACACAAAAAATGTGCATGAGAATTTTAATTTATTATGTAAATCTGTTTTTTTTCCTTTGGAACAATTTGTAATTGCGTAGTGTTCGTTTTGATTCTTAAAGTTTATGGCTTTGGAATTGTTCAATTGACATTAGGTGCTTTAACTAAAATACATCCGGTCAAATCTACGTTATCTAAAAAAGGTTACATCTGGTCGTTGCGGTAAGAAGTTTTATTTTTAGATGAAATTTAATTAACGTCTGTGTTCTGGTGCTGATAATAAAGACGCAGGTCACGATTGGCGCATTCCGTCGTGATTGAGCGATATATTTTATGGTGAAAGCGGTATTTCCTTAAATATTAGAGACAACTAGAAAATGAAGCTGCTGCTAGTTTCGCGACGGTTGTAGAGAGTGTACTTTTGTTAACGCTAAATCTCGATCTCCATCAGTAAGTTTTCTACCGCCCGAACAGCTACCGAAAATTTTCCATCTGATTCATCAAGCCAGTTTTGTTTATCATCTAATTCAACAAAATGAAGTTCATAAGCTGTCAGAATTTGTGTTTAGGTTAAGTGCGCTTAGTGTCACAAGCCTTTTACGACCATATTATTTGGATTATTAAGAAAAAAACTATAAGAAGATTTTTTTATTTTATTGGTCGACAGTTTATGTGCGGGGTAATATGTACAAACACGCTTTGGAAGGTTTTCTTACTTTCAGGAGTTTTCATTTCATTCTTTTTTCATGTGTTTTGGCATGAATTTTTGTAATTGTCAATCAATTAATTGTGTGATTATTCGAAACCAATGCGCACCCGTTTCCATGCCGATTTTTCTTTTCGTGCCCATGACAGGACAGGACCCGTGACAGGATCCGGACGCCTATACGAGAAAAATAATGGAATTTAAAGATTGTTTTGAGCTAAATAGCTAGATGTTTTGTGGGTGGCGTAGTTACTGCATGCCATTTCACACAACAATACTTATCGGTTCAGACGGAAATGTATTTTGTTGCATTTGATTCAGTATAGGAAAATTATTATTTGCATTTGGGAAAAATTTGGTGAATGTGAAACTGTATTGTACATTGGCTTCGGACTGTGAAATTTTGTTTTGTATGCAACATTTTGGAAGTAATTCACATATTTCTGCATTACACGCCGTGTTGCTTCGCAAAGGAAACTAGGTCGCCTGTATCGAATTGTAGTTCCTAAGAGGCTTCGAATTCCCATACAGGAATGTTTTTAAAGCTAAGTCGTGGTAGGTATACCGTTCGCTTTAAAGTTTTGCCGGCATCTGTTGTTTCGTGTAGAGTAACTAAGAGTAACGTATCTACAAGGTTATCATAAAGTAAGGGATATATTTCAGATTATTATCTATTTTTAACAAACTAAGTTTTAACAACAGGATGTGAAATTAAATCGATTTCTTAAATAATGGGAATTCCAGTGGTTAACATAAATGTTAGATATGTCGTCCATTTTGCTGATGTACGATTACCAAACGTTCCTCCAAATTGTACACAGCGTTATTTAAGATTC